ATGGAAGAGGATGGCTTCATGCCAGGCTGCCGCTGGGAAGAGACTGGCAAGGGAAGGGACTGATTTGGGCTGGGAACAAAACAGTCTCAAATCCAGGGCACTGGACAGAGAGGACAGACAATGGCAATTGCTAAACTGCCAGGGGCTCTTGGCAACAGCCAAGTTTGTTTCCACTTTATTAATTCCTTTCATGAGGACTAAGCCAGGGCTGGGATCCTGAGCAACATATCTCCTAGGAGAAGCTCCAGACAAGACGTCTGGGCCTGTGCAGCCCCACAGCCGCACTCCCATGTGTCCCGACCAATGCTTATGGACAGGACTATTTCATCTGACCCATGCTGGTATTCCTTGGTCATGAATCCTTGTGATTCCTAGGGGTGCAGTTCCAAATGTCTACCCCAGACCCTTCCGACTGTAGCCAAGAGTGAGTCTGCCTTTTCTGGTGAACATCAGCTAGACCTGCTCTGAACTATACACATGTAGGGAAGTCTTCTCCTGGTCTGTGTAGGGCATCCCCCCATAGTGTGGGACCGAATTATCTTCCTCCAAAGATACCTGGGTAGGGAATGGTAAGAATAACATTTTTATAGACAACCCCCTACCCCAAGCAAAAAATTAATTTCTTGTCCTCCTCATTATTACAACTTTTTTTCCCCCTGTATTGGAGATTGAACACAGGGGCACTCTACCCCCAAGCTAACCCTCAGATTTATTAATTTATTTAGGTACCAGGGATTGAACTCAGTAGCACTCGACCACTGAGCCGCATTCCAGCCCTGTTTTGTATTTTATTTAGAGACAGGGTCTCACTGAGCTGCTTAGTGCCTTGCAGTTGCCGAGGCTGGCTTTGAGCTTCGCCATGCCTCCTGTCTCAGCCTCCAGAGCCGCAGGGGATTACAGGTGTGCGCCACCATGCCTGGTCAGTGTGTTCCATTTGAAGAAGCTCAGGACTGGTCATCATTTCTGACTGTCCATTTCACTGCCTGACTCTGAGCAAATAAATATTCTTTCCGGGCCTTAGTCTCCTTCTAGGTTGGATGATGAAAGCCAATGGGATCACTTTAGGAGCACAATTTTCTCTTTCATAAATATGCAGAAAGATATAAGAAGCTTCAGAAATTAACCGGAACTCAGCCACATGGTGTGTAGTCCCAGCTACTCTGAGATTCTGAGGAGGGAGAATTACTTGAGCAGGAGTTTGAAACTAGCTTGGGCAACATAATGAGACACCTCCCTCTACTTTGCTGTCTAAAAGAGAATTGATTTTTGATGTAAGGAGGTAACAGTATTAGCTATAATGCCCAATATATTTGAGCTAGCTTCGTGGAACTAATTTTTAAAATTTTATTTATTTATTTTTTTTTCAATACCTGGTACTCCACTTAGAGCCTCATGCATGCTATACAAGCACTGTACCGTGGAGCTACATCCATAGTCTGAAACTATTTTTTTTTAAAGTGACAACTTTGTTTTCTTGCATTTTATCCCATAATAAACCCCCCATAAAGAGAAGGGAGGTGGTGCAGGCCAGGGATAAGGAGGGCACAGTGGGAAAGAAATGATTGACAAAGTAGATAATAGAGAGTTGTTAGAGTGCTCTGAATTTCTTCAGGTCATGTTGATGACCTGGGACAATGGTCATGGGAATGAGAGGGCTCTTAAAATCTCAAGATTTACAAAGGACCTTAGAGGCCATCCAGTCTAGCTATTGAGATTGAAAAGAGAGAAAGTAAAAGGAACAGTCCGTTTTCCTGGAACATAAAGAGAGTTGTCACATATGTGTTTTAAGGGGAGGGAAAAGGGGGATGTGGTGGAATTTTAAGGTTTTGTTTCTTTTGTTTCTTCATGGTTGTGATTTAGGGCGGAGGTGGCTCTCAGGACTTCAGGCCCCAAGAAAGGTTTATTGAGGGTGCATGGGTTTGCTTGGGCAGACTCTGTGGCTAGAATATCACTCTGAAAGAGGCCGCTCTGCTAATTATAGGGAAACAGACTTACCCTCACCTAGTCTTTCTTTCATCTGAATGCATTCCTCTGGTCCCTGCTCCTGGTCCTCTGTCTTACCAAGGAGCCCACCCTCGGAGAGCAGAAACTGTCAGGCATGGTTAAAATCCTTTCTCCCCCTTGTCTTTCTGCTTGCCTGCCCCACCCCCACAAGACCCTCTTTGCCTCACTAGGCCCAGGGGCTGGGAAACAGCCTCTCTCCCAGCCCTCAATGGCTCTTTTCACAGGAAAGAGCCATTGACAGTGCTGCTTGGAATGGGAATTGGGTGGAAAGAGAAAAGGAGGGAGAGAGAACTACATTAAGGTCTGGCCTTCACTGCAGAATGGAAGGGCATTCAGGTGGTGGCTGCACACTTGGGCATCACAAAGGGGCAGCTGAGTGGGGATGGGCATTCTGCCCAAGTAAAATGGCCCAAAGTGAAAGAGGCAATCAGAGGAAGAAGTTCCTGAGAAGTGATTTTAGAGGAAAAAACAATCAAAAGGATAAATAGAAGTTGTCTACTTTTCCAAAGAACAAGGGAAGGGACAGTCATTTTGATTCCGAAGATTTTGCTACAGGAGATGATTTCTTTTTCTTTTTTTTTTTTTAAAGAGAGAGTGAGAGAGAAAGAGAGAGAGAGAATTTTAATATTTTATTTTTTAGTTATTGGCAGACACAACATCTTTGTTTGTATGTGGTGCTGAGAATCGAACCCGGGCCGCAC